CTGCGCACTCAGCGTGCGAAAAAGGAAGGCGAACTGGTCTCGGGGTAGTTCCACCGAGAGAAGCTGCAAGGTCAAAGCCCGGAGACACAGGCTTTGAGGAACCCCCGTCGCCTGCCAGCACTGAGTGCGTCACTGCTGTGGCTGATTCTACAAGGAGGGCACATTACAGCTCACGTCGACCAGGCCGCGTTCCAGTCGTGAAGGGGCTCACCTAAAACCGCCGCCTCCACCACAGCAACCGCAACCCTGGCCGGGAGCTCACGCGTTCGAGTGCCATCCCGTCACGTCCCCGTTAGCTCCCTGGCCAGGGCACGACGAGAATCAACTAATGACTGCATCCTTCAGTGGAACAAAAAGTTGATGGTTTTCCCTCCCCCTCCTTCACCTCTTTCTAAAATCAATAATTTGTTTTAAAAAATTTTAAAAATAAAGCTGTTTAGGGAGAGATGCCTGCCTATAGACCGCTTCCAAGGCTCGCTCGCTTCTCAGGAGCCAAGCCGCCGGCCACACCGCGGCCAGGCCCATGCGGGGCACCGCTCTTCCACCCACATGCCAGGCGAACCTTCGTGAAGCCCCCTGCCCGCAGACCCCAACCATCCCCGTGCTCCTGCCCGAGAACCCCCCTTCTCCAGCTCCTCAGGCCTCCTCCATTCGCACCGCCCAACGGCACAATCTGAGTCCGACGTATATAATTTAAAACTTTCTAGTAGCCATGTTAAAAAAGAAAAACAAGTTAAATTCATTTTAACATATTTTACGTAACTCAATATATCCAAAATATTGTCACTCTAAATATAATATAGGTAAAGATTGTGAATGACATTTTCATTCTTCTTTCTCCACACTAAGTCTTTGAAATCTGGTGCATATTTGGCACAAGACAGTGCCAGTAAAAAAAGCCACATTTCAAGTGCTCAAAGCCCACATGTGGCTCGTGGCTTCCTTCCTGACCTGCACCGACCCACCCGGCCACCAGCCCCATGATTTCAAACACCACCTATGCCGCGATTACTCCAAATGCCGCCTCTGCTCTACTCTCTCATGAACCCAGATTTCTGGGGCCATCAAATACAAGATAGTTAGGTGCCTAATGGGCATTTCCACTTACAACATGTCTTTAAAGAAACGGAGTTCCCACCATGGCCTTCCCAGTGTCAGCCAGGGCAGCCCAGGGAGCCCACTGCCCCAGCCGCAGCCGCGCTCACTCTGCCCGCCCGGCCACGCCCCCGCCACGCCCCCCGCCGCCCAGGGCGGTGCCTCCCGGGCCATGGCCAGGGCCGTCTCCTGTGGGGGCGTCCTGTCCAGCCCGCCCCCCGCCCTCGAGGTGCGGCTGTGCTCTGGGACAGCCTCGCTTCTTTCTCCCTGTTTCCTGCAGGCCTCAGCTCAAGTGTCATCTCATCAGAGCCCTTCCCTGTCCACCCCTATGACACAAACCTCCATATCCTACTGCTTTTTCTTCTTAGCAGGACCTGCTTGACATGCGCAGCCGCTGGTCACTCGTGTGGTCAGGCTCTCCCTGTCCCAACAAGGACAGAGAAGCGCGGCATGTGATGGCTACGTGGGTGTCCCCCTCAGACGGCCCTTCAAGAGACCCCGCTGTGGGAAGCCAAGCTGACCAACAGGCCTCTGGCTGCTGCAGGCCCCAAGTGTCCACAGAAAGGACAGCAGGCCCTGAGTCCCCCAGGCTGCCCCAGCAATGCTGATCACAGAGAGGCAGGAGACCCAGGCCCCTGCCCGAGCAGCCCTCCACCGCCGTCGGCCTGGCCCAGGCTCCCTCGAACCTGCCCTGGCCCGAGGCTGCTCCCCCAGCCCCTCCGCTCCTCCTTCCTTCCACAGGCACACCCTGAGCCCTCCTGTCCCTCCCCTCGGTCCCTCCCCAAGCAGCCCCCTGTGAGTTCCTGCAAGCCCAGTCCCTTCCTTCCCTGCCTGGGACAAAGGAGGTGGTCCGGCTCCTAGGCATGAACGCCCTCCAGGAGGAGCCGGGCAGGGGGAAGGACGGCACTTCAGGCTGCGAGGACGGGCTTGGGCCCCTGCCCTGCTGTGCTGTTTGCAACCTTAGGGGAGCTCCTCGAGACCTGAGCCACAGCCCCATCACCTGTGCCACGGAGATGGTGCCCCTGGCTCAGGCGCTGCGAGGAGAAGGAGGTGACAGTTTGCCTGAGGCCCCGACACGCAGCCTGGCACAGAGGCACTGCCGTAGAGGACGCAAGCTCTTTCTCTGCCTTACCGTCTCCTGCAGCTACTTGCGCGAATCCTTTGCCTTTTCCCTTCCCCATGAATTCTGACTGCTTTTCAATGAAATAAAGCCCCAAATGATCCTAGACACCCACTAGTGAACCCCTTGTCCAACAGGGTCTAATTGACAAATAAACTCTAGTTCCCTTTCTACACTGGGCTCCGAGGTGGTTACTGATTTGAGAAAGTAGGACCCCACCGGGTGGGCGCTGTCTCCCTAACGCCTCAAGAAAGCACACTTAGAAGCCAGTACAAGATCTAGAACTGCAGCTCAGTGCCAACTTCTTACGGCCGAGGTTTTTAGAGCCCCTTTAAAAATCTTTTTTAAGTTTGGAGCATTCTAGATTATTACAGCGATTTCAAAGACACTACACACTGACTTTGCGTGGATTTCAACTGGCAGTTTTTAAAGAGCCCCGTGTGTGCCGTGTGCGCGGTCGTTCACACGCCCCGGACGGCCCCAGGCAGGCAAGCCGGCGTGGGCGGCGAGCGGGGTCCCGGGGCTGGGGGCTGGGGGAATGAGGGGCTCCTACTGAACAGGCTTCTTCTGAAAGCCTTCACAGGACGAGACGTGACTGGGGCGGCGGACGCACAGCGCAGCATGCAGATGGCGGGCCGCGGGCCCGGGGACCGGGACCTCGTCCTTCTCTTAGCCGGTGTTGCCCCGGTGAATTCAACCGAAGGGACGCGCAAGTCAGTCAGTAAATTCTCTTTACAGAGCCAGCTACCTCACTTGCGGGGCCCGGCGCAGACTCACTGAGGACACCAAGACCACAGCCGCAGAGCACGAAGCCAGGCGAGGGCCCTGGGCCGCGGGCCTGCGTCGCTTTTATTAATCTGATATTTCCTGTGTAATACAAGAAGCTGTCATCCTTCATAACAGAATTGTATCACATGACTACTTCAGAGAAAAACATATTCAACCTTATATCTAAAATTATTGAAGTATATAGCTAGCAAGAAAAACCTGAACATGGTCAATGACAATTCAGAGAAGTCAGACACTTGCCAGTGTCTTGTAGGCTGTGTAGCGCCAAGAGGTCACTCGCGCGGCTCACCAGGACACACGCACGCACGACGCTGGCCACGGCAGCCCTGCGGTGCAAGAGCCCGGCCGGAAGCCCAGCCCTCCGGTGCGTGCCAGAACCCTTGGGCCATGACAAAAGCAGTGAAGTATCTCTGTACAGGGAGCAGGTGTATGTGTGCCGGTAAGAAAAGCGCCCGAGACACAAGGTGTGGCGTGTGTTCCCGCGCAGCAGGCTCGCTCCCGCGCCCCCACTGCTCCTGCGCACAGGCTTACTTTGCCCTCTGGCATCCAAGAAACGTGTTAGTGGGTCTTCAAGACGAGTACGAGATGGAAAGGGGGGAAGGAGATTTACTTTTCATCTTGTAATTTACTTTTTTAGAATTTTTAACATATGCTTTTAAATAAATAGAGAGGCCTTAAACAATTACTTACATTCAAAACAATGCTTTGGTAAATAATGCAAAATATACTGTAACAGTTTTAAATTAAGCTTCGTATTTTATAAAAACAGAAACTCCTTAGATGGTACTAGCAAAAAATTATTATACAATCAACAAACAAAAATACAATCATTACTCAATTACTTATGGTAGCAACCAAAGAAAAGAGTCGCAAGAAACAACCACTACCACCAAAAAATTTCAGCCTCCTCTCAACTAAAATCTTCCAGGAAGATGCTGACAGGGAGCAAAGTGTTAATCAGACTCCTAAGAAAAGGCTAGTAACTGAAGAGAAAAAGTGAAGAGCCTGAATAATCCCCAAACTGGGGAGACAACTTTGAGACAGTTATGTCCTGGTGGTTAAGATTCCAAAGGCACTCTGGAAAAAGCGATGCAGTGGGACACAGACGCAAACATTTTCGCAATTACTAACTTTCTGTTGTATCGCCTTTATTTCTAATACAGTTACTAGTTCATTCACTGGGGTAACACTGTCACCCCCAATTCTTTTAAAAAAAAATATTTATTTTTAGAGAAAGGGAAAGGAAGGGAGAAAGTGAGGGAAACATCAATGTGTGGTTGCCCCTCACATGCCCCGTACCGGGGACCTGGCCCACAACCTAGGCCTATGCCCTGACTGGGAATCGAACAGGTGACCTTTTGATTCCCAGGCCGGTGCTCAATCCACTGACCCGCACCAGCCAGGGCTCATCCCTAATTCTTTGGGGCAAGTTTTAAGAGCAGTTTATTAAGAATATGTAGATTTTTAATGATTTTTTTAAAAAGCTCATAATCAGAAATATAGTCAACCTACGTTAAATAGCAATTAACACATATTCTTACGTTGCTGCAACTAAGTAGCTCCATGTTATTATAGAACCAACCGAAGTCACTTTTTCAAGTTTCTGGATATAACTTGTTAAAAAGTAATTCATATAAACTGAAAAATGGTAACTAAATATTGAATTAAAAGTGTCCAAATTATACCTGCTTTTCCTCCCCTAGTTTCTTCCTGCCCAGCCAGCGGTGAGACCACTGAGCAGACAGAGCAGAGAGGGCGAAGAGAGAGCCTCATCAGGGGAAAAGCCTTGGCGATGATGTCAAAGACAGAATTTCAATTTCGACCGTCATTCCAAATACTACTAAATAGGGAGACTCTATTGCTTAAAGAAGTATTTCAAGATAAAAGATTAAAATGGGAACATTTGCTTTATTGAAAAATATACAATGTAAAATTCGACAATTTCCATTTCCCACTGACTTTCATAAGCCACATGCAAAAAAAAAAAATGACTCACCTACAGTTAGGCTTGCCCGTCTTCTGAATGGTTCTGAACCACCGTCATGAATCTGCTCGTTCAAAAACCCTCTCCAACCGAACGCTCACTTTTCTGCTTATTCCCAAAACTAAGGAAAAAACAGAGGTGCAGTTGGAGACAAGATGATTTCTTTTCTTTATACACAAGCGCCAGAAATAAACCCGTGAATGCTGCTACAGCAAACCAGCATAAGCTATATGACCAATCAACTTACCCAACCACTAGCCTTCTCTACACCTGCTCCAACTAGCAGCTAAAAGCGGCCACTTACTGAGCACTTACTACGTGCTGGGCCCTGTTCTGAGTGTGGCAGCAGGGTGGAGTCAAGAGACCCTCACGTAAAGCCAGTCCAGCCCTGCGCACCCTCTGCTGCGATCAGAGGCGACAGGATGAGGGAGTTAATTCGAACACTCAATGAACAAGTACCATGTAAAAGGCCACACTGCACATGAGAGGGAAGCAGCAATGGAAGAGATTCTCCTCTCTTCCCTCAAGGAGTCTGCAATCCAGAAGAGACCTCCATGTGGACTGAACGACAAAGTCAAAAGGAAAAAGCAGCTAAGTGGAGGCGGCAGTCAAGCGCCGTGTGGGAGAACAACGACAAGGGGTGAACGCTGAAAACTAGGGGCAGCCCCTTCACGCCTTCAGTATTAAGGGTTCTGGCAGGAAGAAAACGGCAGAAGGGACATTCCAGAATAAAGGAATTGGACAAATAACCATGACAGTAGCCAGAAGTCGAATGTAGACACACAAGGTGACGAGAGATGGAGTGAAACATCAAGCTCGAAGTCAGAATGAGCCCAGATGGCTTAGGTCTTGAAACGATTTCCTAACCTTTAACATTCATTCTTGCCCAGAAGGAATGGGCCAGGGGGCCGTGCATCCAAGGAGACCCTTGTGGGAGTCAGCCTGCAGCAGAACTGGGTCACATCCCTGAGCTGCGACAAAGTATGGGGGACTGCTGAGAGCCTCTGGTGGAGACACCAGGGGGAGGGTGTGCTGTGAGCTGACTGACACAGTAAATCATTCTGGTAACAGGGCACGGGAGGCCAGAGGGGCAGGAGAAGGGAGGCCGCGGGCAGGCCTGCGCTAACAATCCCCGGAAGGGCTGGCAGAGCCCGCAGGGGGCGGGGCGGAGCGGAGGAGCCCTAAAGAAAGGGGTGACGGAAAAGGCACGTGGGGGGGCTGGTGAACATCTGGTCGGGAAAGGGAAGACCCAAAATATTTCCGACCGAGGTAATAAGTAGGACGGAAGGGCTGCGAAGACAGGCACCTCATTACCTTGCACCTGAAAGAGGACATGCAGTACACAAAGCAGAAGCCACTCTAAGTGACACTACGAAGCAAAAATAGCACAAGCAAGGCTGTTCTCATTTCACAGAACAAAGAAACTCAAGTCCGAAGCGATGTAACCGACTTGCTGACTGGGGTGCGGGCCGAGTAGAGACACAGACCTGAGGCTCTCCGGTGCGTCTCGTCTCGTGGTCTTTAAATAAGCCCCCGCCCTGGCTGCCCTGGCTCAGGCGATAGAGCCTGCGAACCAACAGCTCACCGGTTCGACTCACAGGCAGGGCACAGGCCTGGGATGCTGGCCACACCCCCAGCTGGGGGCCTGCAAAGTGCAACCCATCAATGTTTCTCTCCCTCCCTTCCCCTCTCTCTAAAGATGAATAATAAAACCTTTAATAAATAAGCCCTACAAATGCGGATTACTATTTAATGAGTATAGTAAATCTTTCTTAAAAAACCGTTTTAATGAAAAAGCATGTAATCTGCTGGGAGTCCAATTCTATTTCAAAAGAAAGGAGTATTTTAAAACTTGTGCTCTGGTTCCCTTTTTCCAGGAGACAGGGTGCAGTGGCTTCAGGCAGCGATGCAGGCTCGTGGAGCCTGAAAGTTTAGACAGATGGGAGGTGGTTGTTTGTACTTCGTATAAAGATCCCACTTGGTATCATGTGAGAGGCCAAAAATAACTGAAAAGAAATATTCTAAGTATTAACTATCTTCAACAGAGCATAACTGCATTTCAAGTGCTGCGGTTGGCACTCTGTGTTTGTTATTAACATGCTTCATAATAATAATATACTACATAAGATGGATTACAGACTTTATTTAACAAACATCTGAATACTTTCATGTTTAAACTCCAGAGCGAGGTGTTGGGAGTAAAATAACAACGTGGTCACTACAGCATAGTTTAACATGCACGACACAGCATGACATAGGCAATAATAAGAGTAAAAATAGAGGATTATAATTGCAGAAATGAAGAACTCATTTTTACAGGATTTCCAAAGGGCTTCAGAGAGAACATAAAATCAGACGTGGACTTTTAAAAACCGGGAGGGACGGGAATGAGACATTCCAACGAGAGCAAAGACAACGGGCGAAGAAAGGGCGCAGCAGCTGGGCTTGTTCCGAGAACCAAGAGGAGCCCTGATTAGCAGCAGAGTGTGCAAAGGTGAGGAAGAGGACAGGTGAAGTTCAGAGACAACTGCGGCCAGGCCATGAGGGTCTCGAGCGTGACGCTGGCGGGCCCAGATTCCATTCTCCAACCAACAGGCCATGTCAGAGCTTCCTGCACCAGCGACCGGCAAGATCTGATCCAGCTTCAGAGAGGCAATGCCAGCAGCCAGACAGGAAGCGGAGGAGAGGAGCCTGAAGTCAACGCTTTAAGCCAAGAAAGGAATCGCCGGCGTCTTTGACCCACTGGCACTCTATTTCTAAGAGGGGCTGAACGTCGCTGGGATTCTTTCACATCTCCCCTAACTGGACCACCCAACCATCCTGAGACGGGTGTCATTGTGACTCCCATTTCACAGATGAGAAAACTGGCTCAGAGGCCGTTAACTGTTGATGTGAAATGACGCCAAAACAGAGAGAAAAGCCAGGGCTTTTCCACACTGGGAAAACAAATGTTTAAATCCTATTACTTTTGAAAAGTGCTACTATAAAACCTGAGTGATCTGTAACAGCATTAGAGAGGTGCTTAAAATCCATGTAATTCTCCTAAATGCTTGCAACTTGTGTAACAAATATGCTAATTTACCCTTAAAATAGTTACAGACCTGCTTTCTTTAAATGCCATGTTAAAGACCTGTAGCTTAAAAAAAAAAAAACCAACCCAAAAACAAAAAACCCATACCTCTAATTCCACTTGCTATATGGAATTAAATATTTAAGAGTAGTATTATTCTGCTCTCCATTCAATGTTCCAGTGGTCAAACTGGCATTTCATTGATGAAACAGGCTTAAGTGAAAACCATTATACATGTGCCCAAACTGAGGCAATAAACTACTTTTTGAATTATTAAAAATTCATTATTTAGCAGGTACAGCAATTGAATCTAGAATACAGGGTGAGGCAAAAGTAGGTTTACAGTGGTTTGTATGGAAAATAATACAATAAAAAATAACAAAAGAATAAACTCTGTTTCGCATAGGCACAATTGTAAACCTGCTCTGTCCCACCCTATATAAACAGTAAGTGCAAGGAGCTCACCTACAGATTCAGAAATAGTGTCTGTCACAAAGGAACGTCATAAGAGATCCTGAGACCCATTTAAGAACAGATAGATCCAAAACAACCGATAAGAGAGTATCTGCTCTTCAGGATGCAGAGTGGCAGATTTCCCCCTGTTTAACTTCAAAGTCTATGGAATGGCCAAAGTGTTCTGGCGCGGGTCTTATTTAACATGTACGGAAGCAATGAAGAAATCAAGCTTGCGGGTTTGAGTGCAGTTCCATTCCCAGCATCTACTACGAAGATTGCTTGCCCTCCCCACCCCACCAATCTTCTACCACCGTTTTTGTTTTTTGTTTCTAAGCAAGCAAAGACCCCAAGACAGAAAACCCCTTCTCAGGAACTTGGACGAAGTATTCAACCTAGATACCCAAGTGTCCAAGCCCGGTAATTATCAGCAGGAACCGCCTTTAGTTAAATCATTCCAACGAAGCCATGTACCCCTCCCCACTTATCGCCTATACTTTCACTAGGTTAGGTCTCCATAGCCGGCCTACCGCGGACAAAAACTGAGAGGCGGCGAAAGGGAAATCAGGGAAATCAAAACTCGGTTCGGCTACGATTTGGGGTCTGCTCCCGGGAACGCGCGGGCCCTGCCATCGCGCACCTCCGTCTGCACGCCGAATCCTGGAGCAGAACGCAGCATTTCACACGCGACAGCCCTCGTTTCTCGGGCAGAAAGGAGCGGAGAGCTCCGAGAGGCCGCGGCGGACGCGTGTGCTCCGGAGCCAGCGGGATCGGGACCCAGCGGGCTCAGGACCTCTCGCGCCGCGGCGGCGAGTGACTTTGTGGGCCTGTCATTCCTGCAGGCGGCCGTAACCTTCGCTAAACCTTGCGCCGCACCCGCCCCACCCCGCGCGCGCCCGGCTCCGCCCCCGCCAGTCCCCGCCCCCCACACGCTGCGCCACAGGCCAGGGCGCCCGTCAGTCAACGCCCGCCCCGCCCCACCCGGCCCCTCCCCCGTCGGCGGTTTCCCTTCCCGGGCCCCTAAAGGACAATGCTGGAGGGGAGGGGGCAGCGCAGCGAGTGTCCACCCGCCGGCCGGCAGGCCGGCCACTCCAGGAATCCCGCCGCCGCCTGCTCGGGGCTCCGCGCCCCTGCCCCACCTCCGGCCCCCGCCTCACTTCCCCCAAAGAGCCGCTCCCAGCGCTGTGACACCGGCCCATTGTGCGGACTCATCGTCCGCCCCCCGCTCGCCCGCAGCGCGGCCGCAAGCCGGGCCCCGGGCGGGGGTGCCCAAGCCCGCAGCCCACCACATGCCGGGGCCAAGCCGGGGGTCTCGAGGAGCCCGCGGCTCACGGAGCGGCCCGGCCTCCATCAGGCCGGCCCCAGAGTCCCGCGGCGGCGGCGGCGGCGGCCTGCGTGGTCCACACCCGCTCGGCCGAGGCTCCGCCGCCGCCCGCCCGCCCTGGTCTCCCCCAGTACCTGCCGAGCGGCGCGGCGGCTAGCGGCGGCGCCTTCTCTCCCTCCGAGGGCTCCGAGCGGCTGCCGAGCGCCGGGCGGCCCTGGCCTGCGCCTTACGTAAAGCGGCGGCGGCTCCGGCGCCACTCGCGGAGGGCGGGAGGCGGCGCGCCGTGGCCGCTCCGCTCCGTTACCCGGCAACTGGCCTCAGCGCCCCGCCAACCGGGCGCGCTCCATATCCTTCCGCCCAGGCGCCGGGATTACATCAGCGCCGGCGGCCCCGCCCCGGCCCCGCCTCTCCAGCCGGCCGCAGGGCTGCGGGAGCGGGAGGACGGGCGGAGCGCGCTGGCTCCGGCCGGAGTTGCGCAGCCAGGCGTGGGTGCCCAACGCTGCTGGAAGGTTGGCGGGCTGGAAGCCCACCCAATGTGCGAAGTGTCAGAGAGTAGACACCCCACATTAAAGGGCGCGTGGGGCTGCTCTTTGCAAAAGCCCTTAAACTCCGCCGCCGCTCCGGCCCCTGCCCGGGAAGTAGGGCGCGACTTGCGCCGCCCCACCCGCGGCACGGTGCAGCGCCAGCCCTCCCGGGCACACGCTCCACCTGTCTGCGCCCCTCCTCGCTGCGTCCTGGGATGGCTGGAGTGGGCGGTTTAAAATAAAGACAAGCTAAAAAAAAAAAGTGTAACGTGGCTTTTTATTAAGTAGGCAAAAATAAATTCTGGAAGATTCGGAAGTGGAAACCAAAAATGTACTCTAACCTTTTAATCAGCCTCTTCTCACCCACCCACTTTCCCACAATGTGATTCCTAGGGCTGGCCCCAGAAAGGAAATCACTGGTATAATAGGAACCAGGGAGGAAAGAGCAGAGAGGTTACCTGCTTACAAAGTGTAAGGGGGTTTAGGGGAGAGCAACCTGCCTGGGTCATTATTCACTGATTTACTTATTGAGCACCCACTAGGTACCAGGCACGGAGCTCTTCCGTTCAGAACTTGTGAGCAAAGTCCCCGCACCAGCTCACAGGCTCTTGGGAGGAGCAGACCTATGGACTTGGAGGGGGCACACGGGTCACTCCGTGCCGAGTGCTGGAGAGACAACCCCGGAGAGCCATCGTTTACACGCTACCTGCAAAGTGGCTTTCTGCAAGCGTTACTTTTGTTCTGCAGAAGAATCGTGGACCCAGGCATTAGCATCCCCCATTCCACGGGTGAGGAAACTGAGGCTCAAAATAAGCGATTTCAGCTCCAGGAGCACACAAGATCCTGTGACCCCTAAACCATGCTCTCTCTTGCAGGAGGCAGGACTTGAAGCCAGGCTCCTGGCTGCGAGGTCTGGGGTCTTTTGCTTTGCGTAGCTCTCTTTGGGGCTTGCTCACCGTTTTAGTCTCTGAAGGTTCATCTCAGCTACATGAATCTCACCATGAATCACAGTGCGTTCGTTCGATCAGTGTCTTATGAGCACCTGCTGTGGGCCTGGCGGTGCGCCTGGCTGGGGTGGCCCTACCCCTTCGGAGATCAGCCTCTGAAAAGGGAGGAAGAGGATGAAAGGAAGAGGAAATCCAGGGTTTTCCAATAATGGAGCCTCAGGGGCTAGTTCCCGGGTGCCCCTAGACCTAGAATTCACAGACTAGTAAAATGCCCCCCCCCTAAAGAAATATAGGGGCTTTGTAAGGAGTCGTCACCTTTTAATTTTGCCACATTGGTAACATTGTTGTCATCAACAGCCATTGTTTTATGAAAGGATTTACAGGAAAAAAAAAAAAGTAAAATTGTAACAATATATCTCAGATAGCCAGGCACAGATTAGAGAATAAAATTGTCTTGGTTTACTTTGTCTCCTTAATAATATAAACCACCAGGCCTTCAGATTGTTTGCTTTGCTAAAAGTCCTGGCAGCTTGGCTGACCCCAACCTCAGGACCTTCGCACTTAGCAATTCCTGTTCGAAGAACCCTCTCTCCCCAGATCTTTGCACACTTGGCTCCTGCTCAAGGCTCAGCTGCATTGTCACCTGCTCAGAGACACCTTCCCTGGTCCCCAATTTAGAGCAGCCAACCTTCCCAGTCATAAGGCCACCACCCTGTTTTGTTTTTTATCCGCAGCTCTGTTCAGTGTTTGGAATTATCTTAACTGTCGGTTAAGATCCCCAGGGAATGCAAAGGAGGCCATAGGACGCTGGTGTTAAAAAGCACAGTTGGTGTGGATCAGAAGAGTCCCACGCCAGGGTTTTCTGAAGAAAAACCACGCAGTCTCTGTGTATGTCCATGAACAGTCATTTCTCCAGGCTGAGGACAGCCTACCACAGCTCTTTAACCCCCGCAGGGGGGCGAGGCATGGCGCGGGGGGGTGGACAGGACAAGTCCCCGTGCCCTCTGACTTGGACATTCCGGGCGCCAGCTGGAGCACGGTTTGCGGCCACGTGCACGTGTGGTGAACAGAGGCTGAGGCTGCCCCGGGGCTGCTCCGTGATGCAGAGGCTGACAGGCAGCTAGACAGGGAGGGCCAGGTCCCCTGGCCTCCGTGACCTTCGGTGCATAACCTCCCACCTGCGCCTCCGACTCCCCGTGGCAGCAGCAAGGAATTTAGGCAGGAAGATTTTGATGCCTCCGCCTGCTCTTTTTTATTTTTTTCTGTGAACTTTGGAAACAAAATTTCAATGAAGCTGCACTTTGATAAAAGGGAGAGGCCATGTGTGGGGGGGGGCAGGAGGTGTATGGGAACTCTCTGTACTTTGTGCTCAGTTTCACTGTGAACCTTAAGCTGCTGTACGAAATCGTCTGTCTTAAAAAATGAAAGCATATGGATGAACCTCAGCCCTCGTCCAACACTAGCAATACCAGCTCATTTGCGGACCTCCAGCCGCCCGCCTGGTGCTTCTGTCACGTTGTCTGCACCCCCACAATACTCCAGGGGGAGACTATCCCCTTCTGCGCTGAGAGAAGGAGGCTCCAGAGAGGTTAGGTGGCTGGCCCCAGGCCAGGCAGCTCCTAGGCAGGTGGCAGGCTGCTATTTGATTGTATCCCTGCTCTTTGCACCGTGCAACACTGTTGCATTCAAGTCCCTCTTGAGTCAGCTTCTAATCTGTGTCCAGATAAGAGTCCCCAGCAGAGCTGCTCCCCTTGCCTCCCCAGGGGCCAACGCCCTCCTCTAGGGTTCTCCCCGGTCATCTCAGCTTGGACCCTGGCCATCAGGGCGGTTGGCTCATCTCCCCAGGCCTGCGGCCCCCCAGAGCCCCTCCTGTCCAAGGCCCCAAGCTGCTCTGAGAAACGTAAAGGCCGCTCCAGCTCTGACGCAGCCTCACAATATGACCCCGGGGAGCTCAGGGGGCTTCACAGGGCTTCCGAGTACATGGAGTGATGGAGCAAGGGCGGCGCTGGCGCTGGCCTGGCCCGGTCTGCCCGTGGTATTCAGGGCCAAACAAAGTCAGAGCTGCGGTGAGCTAAGAGATTGTAAGAAGCCCTGTAAATGTCAGGTCTCATCACCATTCTTTCAAACTTGTTCCAAGGGCTGAGGGCTTTTTCCTCACTCCTGCCCCCTGCCCCCATCCACAGAGACCAGCCAGGCCGCGGGCTCTACCTCGGGGCTGAAGCCGGCTCCGCCCTTTATGAGATTGCTGACCCAGGGGAGCTGTGTCGCCTCTCAGCATCCTCACCTGTGAACATCGCTGCAGCGCCTGCCTGAGGGGCTGGCGTGAGGGGAGGAGGGAATCCACGCAGAAGGTCGGAGCCGTGCCCGGCCCACAGGGCACACTCAACGGTTGCCCCACCTCTGGTCCCTCTTCCTCTGTCCTTCCTGGCTCCACGCCTGCGCTGTGCCTCGCCATGCTCCCGGGCAGTTCCATCCATGCTGCAGCCCACACTGCTGTGAGCGTGGCGGGGCAGCCCCATCTCCCCCGCCCCGACCTTTCTCCCGGCGCCCCGCCCGCCGCCACACTGTGCACCTGGCTGGGCCGGCCACAGCAGGTCCGCAGCTCGCCTGCAGCACGCCCGCAGCACGCCCGCAGCCAGCTCACACACCCTTCGCCCCCCGCTGTGCCCCCTCGCCCCCCGCTGTGTCATGTCAGCGCCCTCTCCTGCTAGCGTCCTCAGGCACTGCCCTGTCCGGCGGCCTCAGAAAGGACCTTGCAGGCAGCCTCTGCGCTCAGACAGCCGGCAGCTGTGCAGCCTTGGGCACGCTACCTCCTCTCTCCGATGTGGCTTCCGTGGCGCTGAAATATTGGGTTGGCCAAAAAGTCCATTATATTTTTTCCATAAAATAAAAGACATTTTTCATTTTCACCAACAGCGATGTGGGTATTTTGAGTGTCAGCTCTCTCACACTAGTGGCGCCTCGTGGGGAGAGGCCAGGGGCGCTGCTCAGCACCTTCCAATGCATAAGACAGTCCCATGGCAAAGAGTTATTTGGTCAAAATGTCAATGGTATCAAGAACTTTCACAAACTACTTTTGGCACGATCCGTCACAGCACTTTTCTGTACTCCTGTACAGAAAATTTCTGTAAATTTTTTAATTTTAGTTGCATTTTTACCTTTCTTGAAATAATAAAGCGTAATACGCCAAAAATGTTGTGTATCTTCTTCCATCTTCAATATTAAAATGGCAGCACAAAAATGCACCAATTCTGATAAGTTGTTTTTTGAAATACACGCTGATATGACAGCTGTCACAATGCAATGTAACAAAATTGTTTTGAATGCGGTTAAAAACAACGAAGCGCTACTAGAGCCATCGTATGGAAAAAACGTAACGGCCTTTTCGGCCGACCCAATAGCTACAACCAGAGCTCCGTCTCCTGATCTGGCTGCCCAGGGTATGAAGCCCCTTCTGGTGTTTAGGGCACCCTCCCACCTGGAGAAACCAGGTGAGAAGCAAGGCTAACATCCCTCTGCAGGGATGGAAGGGCGACGCCGACAGGACCTCCCGGCCTCAGCCCTGACGGCTTGTTACTATTAATGACATGAAACTGCCCGTGAGGCTCCGTCGGCGCTGCTTTCCCCTCGCACAGCCGGGAGCGCCCCGCGTCTGGGCGGCAGGCGCCAAGGGCTCGGAAGTGATTTCTAACCAAGGTGTTCACCCGTGAACACAGCCCGCCAGCAGCTGGCCAGCAGCCAGGCCTCCTGTCCGAGGGGCCGCTCCGGCCAGGCGGTATTCGAGGGCCTGGAGCAGAGGAGCTGAAAGGGAGTCATCCCCTCCTCTGCGTCCCGTGGGGCTTCCCCAGC